TATACATTTTCTTTCTGATTTACTTTCTGTTCACACCACAAAGCAAAATGAGCACTGCCTATATGGTAATCTTTGAAAGGAAATTAGTTTCCCAAAATATGTATGATGGAAGAAAACATATTTCAGTATTTCAGTGACCTTAACTACTTTATGTTCCTAGTGCAGAAATTTAATTATGGTAAATGACACCCACTAATTCAAGAATTTATAAATAAAAGAGTGAAAAATCTTCTGGAACTATGATCATATAGGTGCTTGTGCTTTTCACTGGTTACTAATTGGCAGAATCTCACTTTACATAGTGCTAATTTTCCTTTGGAGTGAATGGTTTCTATAACAGTTGTCCTCTCTTAATATCTATTATGATTTTTGATATCAAATACAAACTAGATATAGGCTAGATTTATCACTATGTTGTTAAAATTACTAACATGACCTTGTTCTAATACATTTAAGGTTCATTTTAACTCATAAATTTATATATCATAACTCTCAGTCGCCTTTCTCATTAAATAGGTTAGAGGGTTTTTTTTGGTTATATGTGTCTTTTTAGTATTTTTACAAATGGTAGAATAATTTATGGCTTTTATGAACATTATTTGAATTTGAAGAGGTAACATTCAAATGTGCTTCCCAGGATGTCATTATAAAATAAATGTTGTGCCATGTTATTTCAAAAGTAAAACTTGATACTGTTCTTTTTATAAAGTATGCTAAAACTGAAAAAAATACATAATTATTTAAAAAATAGAACCCAAACCCTCCTAAAAACAAATTTTGCTTTTTAAATAGATAAAATAAATATCTAAGAACTTTTACATAAGTAAAATTGATTAAGTCATACTTTCTTCTTCCACATTAATTTTATCTTCAGAATTACCCACTAAGGTGGAATAAAATCTATACTTTATTTAAATTAAAACTTCAGTTAACAAGAGTTTCTCCACTTGTATTGTGCTTCAAAGCTTCAAGAACTAATAAAAACCCTCATGAGATATTTAGGTCTCACATAACTGGAACTATAACTTTCTTCTAATTTATGCAGTGAGAAGGGATTTCTGTGTGTTTTGTACTCTTACCCCCACCTAGAATAGAACCTGGCACATAAAAGATGTACAATGAATATTGGTGAAATAAATGAAATACTCTGCAGAAAAATATTTAAGAATGGATGACCATCTAAAACAGTAACAATCTATCTGTCATTTTTCAGAATTACTGCCCAAAATGATGTGTATGTTAAGTCTTAGAACTAAATATTATCTACACAATTACTCTTTTTTCTAGTTGAACTATAGCTAAACAATGATCATTTCCTGATACTGGGAAGCGAATACAAGCGAAAGTTTAGAAACCAGCATGTTCTAAAACATTTCTTGGGATATGAAAGTCTCAGTGGAATCCAGGTCATAAATATCCTTGGAAAATCAAGACTTGGCAGTTCTTTTCAGATTTAGAAAAGCAATTCAGAAGCAACACCATCCTAAAACAAAGGATTTGTCTGAGCAGTGCCAGGGAATTTTATAGTAATTCCAAGTTGCCTGTAGCATCTTTTTACTGGTTTCCTGGTATTAGTTTTAGAGTTAAAAGGAACCAATTTGGAAAGGACCTGCAGAGAACACAAATAAGCAGGTTTTCTTTGCCCCTAATGTGCTTTCATACAGTGGTCAGCAATATAAAATAATATTACAGCTTTCTCCCTATATAATTTTACAAATAAAATGAGGTTCCATTATGTTTCATTTACTTCAGTAAAATAATAAAAATTCTACAATGTTCAAAGTACATTAAAAAAAATTAGAAAATTTAACCAGTTAAGAATGAGCTGTGAATCCTACATTATATATGACTAAGAGTTTACTATAATAAAGACATTAAAATTAAGACAGTATTTTATGTTAGCTAAAAGAACCAGGTGAAATCTAGCTAGAACAAAAAAATCAAGGAAGACTTACCAAAAAGTTTAGTAAATCATTTTGGAGAAAACAAAATATTTAAGCATAATCAGATCATGTATTTTCACCATCTAAAATATAATCACTGAGTATGTTCTGGAAGTAAAAAGGTGTTTCCAGATGGAAAGGGAAAATAGGTATTTGGTCTATATACATATATAGACCTAACTTCATTTTCTAAATTTCATTTAGGAAAATATTAACTATTAGATTTAAACTATGAACTTGATTTTTACTTTAATTTTCCATACAAGAGATGATTAGTCATTGAGTCTCTTAATATTTCATGCTTTTTATTTAATGATTTTTCCTTATACCTCTAAGAACACAGACAACTGATTTCTATAAAGGTTTTTGGTTTATATGCAGGTTGTTGGTCATTTTTCCTGCAAACTATTAAAAATTTTTCAATGAATAGTCATTGCTACATTTAGGAAAACAAGGTTTTCCAAAATCTTGTGTCAATAACAAACAGAAACCTTCATGAAAGATATAGTATCATTTCACAAATAAAATTAAGTTAATGTACATACATAGTGAAAGTTAAAAAATTAAAAATTATATAACCCATAGTGAGAGTGAATAAGTATGTTATGGCTCTAACAGTACTGCTGCACCTCTGCAGCCCTTTAGTTTTTAGTATGAGTTATCAATTGGAGCTACTTTCTATTGGTATAATGAATGTTTTGCTTTTGATTAATGTGACACTTAAATTTCCCAGTTACAGAAAACAAACAAATGCTCACAGACCCCAACATTAATACTCTCAGAGGCTAAGAACTCTACACTAACTCTAAATTAAATGTGCTGAAAGCCACATAATGGTTTTTCTTTAGGAGCTTTTTATGTATACACGCACATATGTATTTTTAAAAAATGAGATGGGTGAAGGTATATTAAGCTGGTGGCTTCTAGATATCAAGAGAAAGCTGCTTCTGTAACTTTCTTCTGTAAGTCAATTTTTCATTCAGATAAAAAAGGATGACCCTATCCTCAAGAAGGATGTTTATGTTCCAAAAATATTTGTTACAGTATTTTTTATGCAAAATCATAAAACACCAATAATCATTTAATTATTTATAAGTAGAAGAAAAACCAGAATCTCCAAAAGATTTAGTGATTCTATCCTGCCTCTTTATGAAAAATATTTCAAGCATCTTTTAAAAGAATTTTGGGTTGACTGCAGGAAAAGTAACTAGGTTAAAAAAAACAGCATAAAAAAGCATAGATGAATATATACAATTGGGTAGAAAGAATACAGAAGTATTGCTGTGGTTCAGATTCACTATATGGGCAGTGACATCTGATAAATGTAGTATCCAGCTTAATTTACACTGACCTAAAATCAGAGATAAAGCAATGAGGACTATTACGGGAGAAAAAGGAAAAAATCACTGACTGTAGAAAGAAAATGATCACTTCAGTACCAAACACCACTGAACGGAAGAGCTACAGTGAGGAATGACCAATGTGCTCATCAGTTATGGCCACCCTGAAACAGGAGGAGGAAGTAGAGAAGAAGGGAAGTAAAAAAAACCTAAGATTTTCCTTAGAGAAAAAAAGAATAAAATTAATCTTTTACTAATCTTTAAAAAAAAAAAAACTAAACATAAAATTCTGTTTTGACTCTCAGTAATGGTTAAAAACATTCGGGAACACATGATGAATAGTAAACCAAGACTCAACTGTTAGAAATACAGACTCAATAAATTAGTTTTACCATCAAAACTAGATATGAGTATTAATGAAGAAAAGACAACGGAAAGCCATATGATATCAGAAGGGTAAAAATTTGGTGGTTACATCAAGTTTGTCTAAGAAAAGACAAATTAGACATTGATGGTATTTTAGTCTTTTACGAAAAGGGCAACTAAACTCTACGGAGTTGAGAGTGAGGGAAAGGATCTTAATTAAACATCAACCATTAGTAATATACTATAAAGTATGAAATGATAAATCATCTAGAAAATGACATTTTTCTAGAATAAAAAGGTATAATCCAATTTAAAAAAATGGGCAGAGGAGCTGAATAGAATAAAAAGGTAAAGAATAAAGATTCATGGTCCAAAACATGATTACTGCTACTATGTTATTTTTTGTTTGTTTTCTTTCTTTTTCTTGGGGCTTTTGGGGGGTGGGCAGGGGCCATGATACTGAGATCAAGACAGAAAAATATAAGGCCAAATTGAAACTAAACTAAAAGCAGCTCATGAGAAAACAATCATGCTTCAATGATGGAAACTACTATCTGGATGATACAACTTTCTAGTATATTTTGATACTTTAGGGAAACCCAAAAAAATTAGGCTTCTATTAAGTTTATTAAAAGCTACCCACAAGAAAGGAATTAAAATTTATACAATGAATACTAATATGCCTTGTCCTCCTGTTTTTGCCTAAATGTAGTCTACAATCTATCTATATAAAGTCACATAAGTCCTGTATAAAATGGACTCCACAAGGCCAATGTTCTAAATTACATCATTAAAATTACCACACAGCTTGACATATCATTTGGCAACAAAATTAATCAAATAATTATTAAACAAACATTTATAATCTGAACATACACACATATAAATATGTGTAGTAAATGCAGTGTGAATTCATATATAATTTAAAGTGTTTTTCTTAAATTTTACATATAACTAGAATAATAAAGAATATACATGTATCCAACAGAGATTTAAATTGGACAACTGTTGGACATAATTTAGTCAAATTTAAAGTAACAAAACTTGGAAAGAACAAAATATGCATAAAAACTCATTTTATACATATAAATTTTTGGCTAACATATAAATAGGGCACCTATTTCCAAAGCATAACAAAGCATTATATAAGAAAAGTAATTTCAATGCATTCATTTTTATTGTAGTTCAGTATAATTATTAAATTAAAACCTTACTTCAAGTGCAGCCAGTTTTAAGTATACCCAAAATATTTTTCTACTGGCAAACTTTGTATTACTATGACTAATCTTTTAGAACTATGTTATTTTCTTCAAAATAGTTTACGCCTTTGTAGAGAGTTTGGTTCACATACCCATGCCTCTGTTTGAATGGGCCTGATGTTGCTTAGGAGCACCTCTTCATAGTTTCCATAATCAATGAATTTAACAACTGCTGTCATACCTGAAGAATGGAGAGCTTCAACTTCTGCTCGGTAAAACTGAGGAGAAAAACAGGAGTTTTTAGTGTGACACTCAACCCAGTCTGCCTAGAGTAATATATGATGACTATAAATACTCAAAGTGTTACCATGTATAATTTTTTTTGAAAGCTCATTTCTTTTTAAAAATTAATTTTTATTGGGATATAACTGACATAAAACATTGTATTAGTTTTAGCTATACAACACAGTGATTTGATACTTGTGTATGTTAGGGGTAGAATCACCACAAGTTTAGCTAACATCCATCACTACAGTTAAAATTTTTTTTTCTTCTGATGACAATTATGATCTACTCTTTCAGCAACTTTTCAATATACAATATTTTAAAGAAAATAACTTATAGAAGAATAGTATTTTTTTTTGAGAGGGCATCTCTCATATTTATTGATCAAATGGTTGTTAACTACAATAAAATTCAGTATAGGGGGGTCAATGCTCAATGTACAATCATTAATCCATTTCAAGTCTAATTCTCGTAAGTCTCCAATCTTCTGAAGCATAACGAACAAGTTCTTACATGGTGAACGAATTCTTACATAGTGAATAAATTCTTACATGGTGAACAGTACAAGGGCATTCATCACAGAAACTTTCGGTTTTGATCACACATTATGACCTATAAACAATCAGGTCAAATATGAATATTCGTTTGATTTTTGTACTTGATTTATATGTTGATCCCACATTTCTCCCTTTATTATTATTATTATTTTTATTTTTAATAAAATGCTGAAGTGGTAGGTAGATGCAAGATAAAGGTAGAAAACATAGTTTAGTGCTGTAAGAGGGCAAATGTAGATAGAAGAATAGTATTTTTAAGAAAGAAAACTTACCTTTGGATAATCATAAACTGGGCTAAAAAAAGAGATTAGTTCTCTCATCCATAGGAGTTATAACCTGAGCAGTAGTAAGATGTCAGGATAGAACTAAGAGAGTCAGAGAGAGAATAATATTCACATGCTAATAGATGTAAAAGGAACTAGTACCATGTTTTGTTGTTAGGCATCAAATCCGTTTGACTAACATTAGGAAAATCATTCTTAGATACTAAGCAGAATATATAACTATAGATCAATTTATTTAAAAAACAAATATATGACAAAAATAAATCTCAAAGAAAACGGCTCATTGGGGCAGTCATCACAGGGAGCGGGGGAGGGGTGGTGGGGAAGGAGGTCGGGTAACATATTAAGTAAGCATATTACTTAAATCCAGGATTTACAGGATTTGAGACTTGGTAAGACCAGTAACTTTTATCAGCTTACTCACTATAACTTGGCTCTGGGAACTAATTAACATAGCATATTAACAAACTCACAAGGAACTTTTTAACATAACAACTAGAGCTTAAAAATTTACTTGTTAAGGTAACCGAAAATAGGTTAACTGATTGGAGTACTCCTCCGCTATAGGTTGACCCATTCAGGACCAAAATTATAGTTCTAAATGTTGCTTATTAAACATGAAGTGGAAATGAAAAACTATTTACTCTTAAGAAATATTTTCTTCAAACTAGGGTAGCTGGATGCTCTACTATAATACCATCTACTCTAAAAGCATCTCTTAATAGGCTCACGAGAATCAGAAAATGCTAAAGGCAACAAAAACTCTTACTTTCCACATCCTTCTAAAATAGGAGTGAACTAGGATATACCAGGGAAGAATCTGTTTTTACTGATTAATGAGTAAACTTCATACTACAAAGGTCATTAAGTTAATCTATGGTGTTGCCTTCCTGGGTCTGGATGCTAGCAAGTTTAGAGACAGCATGCTGGAATTTTCCTTATTTTAGAGTTCTTAATATACATTCACATCTATCCCTTCCTCCTTTATTTCTGAGCCTCATATTTTCTGCATTCTGTGAATCGTTGTATTTCTGAACCTGTACTTCCACTGTAAGCTTCTCAGATAATTATGCCAGTTCAGGTAAGGTCAACAAACAATGAATCATAATATATTGTACAGAAAACAAATGAGATGACATTCTTTCAGAAATTTACAGTTTAATAGAGATACCCCATGTAAAGAATGACTTCTATATAATGTTGAAAGTACTGTGATAAAGGTGTGGTGATGGCACTTAATAAGGCTGAGGAGTTTGGGAAAAGCTTCCCGGGGCCGATAACAATGGCTATAATCTTCAAGGATGAAGAGAGTTTAGTGAAGTAAAGGACCAAGGAGGGTGTTCCAGGGAAAGTAACATAAAAAGGTTACATCAAACACAAGGAGATGAGTGCAGCAAACTACAGTTTAAAAATTAATTATGCATGATGTGACAAAAAGGGTCAACCAATAGGAAATTAGGCAAGACAAGAAGGTAAAGGCCAGCCGACTGAGGCTCTATATGCATGCCAGGGGCTATATTTATTCTACAGGTGAAAGATTTTAACTAGGAAGAATGATATGGTCTAGGTCCAGGATCAGAGTGGTGGCAGTTTCAATGACAAGTTTAAGAGTAGTAAGTTTCAAGGCATGGAGGCTAATTTAGAGATTGCTAGAGTATTCCAGCTGAGAGGACACAAATTACTGAACTAGTTATAGCAATCTACAGGGAGAACTATCCCAAATTCCCAAATCCTTCTATGGAAGTAAAGCTTGAGAGAAGGCAAGATATTGTGAGAAATTTTTTAAATTACAGTTTATACTAACTAATTAATCAACTCCAAAGCATCACTACAATGCAATTAAGGTTCTAGTCTCTCAGTGACAGAGCCAGTCCTTTCTCAAATATTAACTCTGTAGGTTAAGGAAAGCTGCATATTCCTGAGAAGACATTAACCTATCTCTTAAATTACATAGTTTCAGATGATAATTCCATCTCTTTCTGGAGGTGAATACTGTTTATCTTACTTGCTTAATGGTATAATTTATGTAAAGCCCAGAGCTCTTACTGTAAATGGAAAGTATACACCCAATTAAAATCAAAGTAGTTACTTAGGAGATCATCCAACTATTCTAGGAATACTCTAAAGGCTCAAAACATTTGGGGACTTGTTAGGTACTGTCTTTCAGAAGCTATATGACATTAGTTGGCCCTTGAACAACATGGGCTTGAACTGCCTGGATCTACTTGCATGCGGACTTTTTAAAATAAATATATTTGGAACATTTTTGGATATTTGTGACAATTTGAAAAAACATTTTATTTTTTCTAGCTTACTTTATTGTAATAGCATATGTAGCATATAAAATATGTGTTAATCGATTGTTTCTGCTAACTGTAAGGCTTGATGTCAACAGTAGGTTACTAGTAGTTAAGTTTCTGGAGCGTCAAAAGTAATACACAGATTTTCCACTGCATGGGTTGACACCCCTAGTCCCTGCATTACTAAAGGGTCAAATGTATTTTGAATATATTTAGCAGAGGTAATAGATGAATTCAGTATTGTTGATTTTTTGAGACAATTACAATTAAAAGTAGAACTTTATTAACAATTTCATCAGGTATTTGAAGGCATTTGGTGATAGCACAGCCAGAACTATCTGATATATCCCAAGCACCTGACACTTAGCAACTGCTCAATTATGGTTTGTTGAATACTCAGTATGTGTTAAAGAACTTGTCTGCTAAGTCTAATATCAGAAAACCTGCTATGATCTCTGTTGCTTTGTTTCTGGTCATTCATAAACTTTCTCTATTTTTAACCACGCTTCATAATTTTTTATAGGATGCCAGATGTTGCAGATGAGGTTCTAGAAAATGTTAATTTTTCACCCAAAATTATTATAATTTATTTTGGCAGGCAGACAGTGAACAGGCAGGTAACCTTGATCCTGTAGAGGGCTGGTTTCAGGCTTTGTAATGGCTTGATTGTATTAGTTTCGCACTTACTACGAGGGCACGATCCTTGTGGGATATCAATGGAAAACCTATGTTGTTTAACCAAGCCTTTCAAGCATTATAGTACTTGAATGAAATCCCATCTTTTATTCCCTCTGCTCATCAAGGTCACCAATAACTTCACATTGTCCAGTACAGAATTTTCCTACCTCATTTTAATTAACCTTTCACAGAAGCATCTGAAACAAGTGGCCACTCCCTCTCAGGCGGGCGCTACTAGCTCTAGACCAACGCTGATTTCCAACTACTCATCTTGTCTTTTCTCTCATAAGAGAGAAATAGCTAAACATAATTCCTCAACTACCCAAATCTGATAGTCTGGATAGTGAAGAACAGTTGTGCTTGCTTTCCATGGCCCCTAAAAGTTGAGGGGTAGTCATATGAAATAGTTCCAACCAACAAGGTTGATATTTCTGGGAAGGCTTTTGCTTATCTGGAAAAAAAGAAAAGGCCCAGCTAGAACTGTCTACTCCCCTCCTTCTAGTCCTGAATAAAAACCTGACAGTAGAGATGCTGCTTTTTACAGATGTTATCCCACATTCATACAAAAACCTTAAAAACGATGCCATTTAATTAGCAGCCTGTACCCATCCTTGCTGCTATCATCAGGCAATACCTTAACAACCTCATCATTCACTGAACACATGGGGCCTTCTTCTTGGTCCCAAGCCCTATAGCATTCTTTTAAAAGCTCCAACCACATTCCCTACCCCGAATTTCAGTTCCTTGAAATTTTCAGTTAACTCTACCTTCACCCTCCTCCTAGCCACACACACACACTCCCTCGGGCACATCCTTACCTTATCAACTGAAACTACTCTACCTATGAAATATTTATTTTTTTCTTTGACTTGATCCTCACATCCACCCCAGGCTCTCACACTATGACTCCTTCAGTTTGTTTTTATTATTTTGCTGATATCTCTGTAACTACCTCCCTCAGAAGTTACTAATTAACAGAGTCAACAAATATTTATGAAATCCCTACACTGTAGGAGGGGCAGGGCTGCAGAAGAAAACTAGACAGCCATCGCCCACCCACCAAGGAACTTAAAATTATGGTGAGGGAAAGAGCTATAAACCCAGGAACTAAACCAAAAATACTTACAAAATGTGATAAGTTTTAGAAAGTGAACAAGGCCCTGACTGAGAATGACAGTCATATAGGAGGGAGGAGGGGGCAGGCCAAAGAAGGCCTCTTCTATGAAGGGACGTTTGCATCAAGTCTCGAGGATGCCAAGAGTACACAGCACGGTGGGCATGCTGAGTGCAGGGGAACACACGCTCGCTCGAAGGCCCTCCTCTCCCGGGGCCCCTTTGTCCTGTCCCTTGCCTGTTGTCACCATGTTGGCCTTCTCCCTCTCAGCCAGGCTCTTTCATCTGAGTCACTGTATTCCTTCTTGACCTCACCTTCTGTCCTTCCCTTCCCTTTTCTCCATGATTTTCCTCTTTCCCCTTCAGCCAGCACATAATGTAGAACTAAAAACTGTTTCAATTATTGGCTTAATAATTACTATCTATTAGCTAAATAATTAGTTGTTCTGCTCTTAATTTTTTTAAAAAAGTGGGCTGATTGTGTATATTTTCTTTAATTTAAAAGAAATCTGTAGAATTTAACTCTGTGCCACTCAACCAATTTTCGTCCTGTGAATGAGAGTAATTGCACTAGAAAGAAATGCAAACATTAATAATTCAGTTGATGATAAGTGAAATAACTTATCAACTTCACTTAATCACTCTTACAATACTTTTCTGATATGTAAGCTAAAAATCTCACCTAACCTAACCAAATTGTATGGGACTTATTCTCCCTCAGCATCCATAGAACATATTAAATATATTATTTTTCCTCTTTTATAAATTATACATCTATAAATCTGTTTAAACACTTTAAACAGGGCCAATTGTAGAACAAAATTCACAGTCCTAAAGCAGTGGCTCTCTATAGTCTCACGGGAATGTTGCCTTTAGTACTACTAGTATATATAACTTTATAGAATGCATACCTTGTTGTCTTCCCAATAAAGTGCAAAGCATTCATCTCCAGGTTTCCAGAGTTTTGAGTACTCCATAGGAATAGACGAGTCTAGTACTTTCTCTGGTTTAATTGGCCCAGATCTTCTTTTGGGCCCACTATTGTAAAATATTTTATCATCATAGGGTGCAGCTGTGATGGGTCCTGCTGGCTTAATAGGCCCTACTCGTTTTCCCTTCGGCGGCATTTCTGTCTCTCCATTTGGAACACCAATGAAACTATTAGTTCGGACAGGATTCTGGTAATCAGTATTTATATGGAAATGTTTTTCCATTTTTACACCACTGAAAGCTTCATTATTTATTGTTCGTGGTTTCCTGTCATAAAAATGATCAGGATTCGCTGTTTGGTTTTCTCTTTTTCCACGTTTTTGGTTATTATAATCTATAGATTCTTGATGAAGTGGATTTTCTTTTGCCTCTCCATAGGATGGACCTCTTCCTGATCTGCTTTGCATAGAGTTATCCCTTTTTTTAAAAGCACCGTCATTGTGCTGAGAACTTAGAGGGTATGAAATATCTTTAGTTCTATCGTATCTAGAATATGGTCTATCACACTTGATTCTCTCTTCAGCCCATACTTCAGATCCTGAAGAAGTACTTGGTCTTTCAGAGCCTCTGTTTCTAGGTAATCCACTGCCTTCTAAAACTGACTTTGAATTTTGAGTGTCTCTTTGAAAACGAGGAGGTTTTTCATTTCTTGGCTGTCTGGTATCATTTCGAGGAAGATACCTTGGTTGATTATTATCTTTCACTCCATTCTGATCAGTATTTGACAATCTGTGTTGTCCCTGATGAAGCTGCTGCAGCTGTGACTTAGGTTCTGAAAAGTAAATCACATGCATATGAAAATGAATACTCTGCATTAATACTCAATTACTTTAAAATGTTTAGCAGCCATTATGTTAATACAAAATTATCAGACTACTATTTTAAAATCGTCCACTAACTTTCCACTTCATTATCCTAACCCGCTCTGCTTCCTTAGAGGCCTGCATTTCTAGTGGACAGTCTTTCTGATCAGCCACATTAGTGAAGTAAAGCATTGACAGGAACCATGAAAAAATGGTGGATAATTCAAAAGCAGTTTGTCTTTGTCCCTGAATGCTTGCATTCTTATAATATAGCTACCTATATATGTTGCTCTGGTAATTCATTTCTAAGACATTAATGATTGGGAGTTGCAAACGGCCACCTCAGAAGCTGCCATGAAACTGCACACATACAACCTTTCCTCAACTCCTTGCTAAATCCCATTCCAATTAAAAAATGCATAGTTATTGTCAGTCAAGGTCTAGCCTTTGCAAATATGTTATTTCTCAAATCTATCTGGATCTGCAGTTGCTAAGTGTTTAGATTACAGATCTCCTACTATAGAAGAGAATTATTAACTCTCCTGATCTTTCAAAGTAATTAAGAGCAGGTACTACTTGTAAATACAGAGTAAAAGTATCAAAGTCTGGTTAATAAGCACAATAGTGCGGATAATGTCCAACTAGAAATCAAAAGCAGTAACATGGTAAATATATACTCATAGACAATTTAATGACTGCATTCACATAGTGATTTTTATTTCAATTTGTATCATGTCTTTACATTTTCTTCCTCCATTGTTTCACACAGCATGTCTATAACATTATTACCAAACATATTGTCTGGTCTTTGGTATACATGTCTTGTTTCTCTACTCATGTTCCAGGGTCACAATATTTCATAACAGGGGAACTGCTGACATTTTGCGTCAGACTGTTTCCTCTATTGCAAGAAAATTAACCTTTTTGACCTCTAGGCACTAGAGCACCCACACCCAGCATTCCTCGTCACTGTGAGGACCACAACTGTCTCCATACATTTCCAAACACCCACTGATGGAAAAAAAGGTACCAGCTAAAATGCCTGAAACAACAGGGAAAAAGATCTTTAAGAGTTCCTGAATGACAAAACAAGTCACAGACTAAAGAGAAAGATTTAAAATGGCAAGAAACTTCTCAACATAACCATTGGAAGCTAGAAGCCATTCTGACTGACTTTAAATGTCTTTGAAATTAAGTGAGAATTGTTTTCTAAGTCCAGTTCTCTATCCAGCCAAATCATGCATTAATTGGAACAAAGAGTATATATTTTTCAGATATGAAAGATTTCAAAAACGAGCCAAAACAATTTATGGAAACATTTTCTAAAAATCACTTTTTCCCAAATCTGCTTTATCAATATATGACAGATATCTTATTTTAAACAACTGCAGTTGACAATAAATTTTTCTTTAGAAATAAGAAAAATGGTCACCTTCAGGGAGGGTGCTTTGGCATTTAGTGCTTTAGGCCAAAAAGGTTAATTTTCTTGCAGTGCAGGAAACAGCCTGACCCAAAATGTTAGCAGTTCCCCTGTTATGAAATATTGTGACCCTGGAATATGAGTAGAGAAACAAGACATGTACACTAAGGACCAGTTAATATGTTTGGTAATAATGTTATAGACATGCTGTGCAAAACAACGGAGGAAGAAAGTACAAATGACACTTTCTGTTGGCATTGTTTATTATCCAGAAGTAAATAGTGAATATAAGCAGGACACAAATGAGCATTTTCAGCAGAAAGCATGTAATAGTATTTGTTTCAGTCATTATTAAAGAATAAAAACAGCAGTTGCCTTTCACTGTGTGCTATATATTAGACATTATGTACTAGTACTTTATACACATTATCAATAGTCCCTACAGTAGTCTGAAGATAAAGGTATGAGATTTCCTTAATAGAGAAGTCCTTTGTATAGTGAGTTGAAGAAAATTTTCAGCTTCCAAAATAGGTCAAATATGAAGGTATTTTATTTGCTGCCAATTAGTTTGAATAGATACTTATGAAGTAAGTATTTTAGACCTGTTGTGTTCAAGGTTCAATTTTTCTTATATCATCCCAGTTAGGGCCACTGATATCTAAGATGGTCAGGAAGTACAAATAAATTAGGCCATCGTGACAGTAACTAAATATCCTGGACTATAGAAGGGGGTATGGATAACCATGCATATAGAATGAAGGCTTCAACTATGGTTGGTAGGTGTGGGAGAATTTGATTTCAGTTCTAAACGAAAAAAGGGTAGATTTCCTAATCTATTTAATTGATGACATACATTAGATTACAGAATGAGTAATTTTACTAATAATGAATATATTTCATTTCTGTTATTATGCTGAGATGGTATAGTCAAAGAAGAATCTATGAAGGAAAATTATTTTTAAAGTGAGAATTGCTCTTAAAAATCAAACTAAATGAAGCAGAAGGTACAACTGTGCTTTTAAAAGAACATAGTTCTCCAGCAGTAGATTCACAGACTCCAAGAAGGAACTAGCAGTTACCAAAGGGAAAGAGTAGGGGTGGGGAGGAAGGGAGAAGGGGATTAAGGAGCATTATGATTAGCGCACATAATGTAGGGGGGGTCACTGGAAGGCAGTGCAGCACAGAGAAGACAAGCAGTGCCTCTATAGCATCTTACTATGCTGATGGACAGTGACTGCAATGGGTGTGTGGCGGGTACTTGATAATATGGGTGAATGTAGTAACCACAATGTTGCTAATATGAAACTTTCAAAAGAATGTATATCAAGGATACCTTAATAAAAAAAAAAGAATATAGTTTTCATACACATCCACTTCATTCCAAAATAATGTAACAGTAAGAAAGGAAAGTCCTTAAATGTTTCCTCACTCTTAGATTTTCTTACACCCAGTAACTTTTGTCCTAGGTTCTCAAGTAATGAATCCAAAGTAAATATTTTGAAAATGGGCTAAAGAAATAACAGAATATACTCAATTACTAAATTGTGGAAAAGATTATTTTAAGTAATTTAATAGTCCCAAAATCAAATAGAGAACTCAGCTCTCCAGTTAAAATCTAGTTACTCTCTGCCATAACTTCTCGAGAAAGCATGGTGATTCCAAAGCACCCAAAATACTAACTGGTTCCAAAAGTTAGGTCTACAATCACTCTCATAATAAAAATACTAAGATTTTTTTTTCATATAGGAAGCAGAATAAAATGCATAAGTTCTTTTTAATGACCTGAAGAGGAGAGATGAAATAAAAGCACAAATAGAAATTGGTAACATTTATTATTAAATAGGAGAAAAAGGGAAAAAGAATATTATCAAAAATAATAGAAAATTTGTCACCAAATACATAAAACTGTGAAAACTTCTAAAAGATAAAAGTGATAAAAGCTCATATGAAAAAACTAACCAAAGAGTGCTGCATAAGTTTAGCTGGACTTGTGATTAATGCTGTTAGGCCAGATCATGAGTTTCAAAATGTATGTTTACAAGATAATTGATCACAATGTTTTATGTCACCATGATTTGAAATGCAAGGATCATTAAAATAAATGTATTAACTGTCACATATTATCTGGGTTTATATGTAAGAATGTGCTGAGTTAATCAGACATCTTAAAATATTAATACTTCCTTGCCGAATATCCATTCTCCAGTCACAGTTGCACTTGCATTTCACAGCTGGAAAACAGGTAAATTCTGTTTTCCAAGATGATTCTTCATTTTACTCTGAGATACCTACCTGAAGAAGATGTGTCTTAATATTTGTGTCTGACTCTACTCTAAAGGACACTTCTGCCTACATTATTTCATGTAGTTTTCACAACCACCCTGAAGGGCAATATTACAATCTTTATTTTTGCGAATAAAATAAAACAAAGCAAGGCTAGCAGCTAAAAAATGTGGAAGCCAGAGTTTAAATTCAAATCTTAACTCATGCCAAGGCGCACTATTTTTCCACAATGCCAAGGTGCCTGCCAGAGGAACAAAACAGAATGAAACCAACATGTGAGCTACAATTTTATCACCTACATCTATTCACCTGGGGAGGGAGATGCAGAATTCACAAAGAGTCTCACAATCTCTGTTGGGCAGAAAATACTAATTTGGATACTAAGACTGTCAGAAACCTGACCTAAAATTGACAACTGTTTCCATTAATGCAGGAAAAAACTAAAGCCGCATTTAACAAATGGACTGGTATTTAGAAGCTCACCAACTGGCACTTAGAGATATCATGGTGTGTAGGTCACAACCTCTGGTGAAGCACTGCATACATTATATCACAGCTCTGCCACTTAGTAGTTTTCTAACCTTAGGCAAGAAATTTAACTTTTCTGAGTCTCATCTTTAAGGTAGGGATAACAACAGAGTCTACCGTAGAGGTTAACTAAGTCAATACATGCAAAGTATTCAGAACTGTGTCCGGCTTTAATAAGCATTCAGCAAATGTTAGCGGTCACTGTTACCATGATGATTATTAGCAGTATTATAAATATGCAAATAAACTAAATTAATTACCTTATTAAAAAAATCAATGCTTGGATGATAACACGCTTCCTAATTTGCACATCTTCCCCACCACCAATCCCCATCTTTAGTTAGGATCCTTACCTTGGTTTAGTTTTGTTTGCTTTTGTTGTTGTTGAAAACAAGGCAGAAAGAATGTTTTAGTAAAAACTTTTTTATTGTCAAATTATAAAAGTTACATTATGGAGAAATTTGATAATCAGAAAATTAAAATCATACTATATTACTGTTTTTCACTTAAAATACATTCATAAACACTCTCCAGATAAAATTTCTTGTATACACCCTTTAACATTTTTCTATATTAAAAAAATGCTAAGAAATATTTTAAAAAGTAAGAGCACTTATAATTCTACATATGAGAAATGGATAGAATGAAAATACTACCTTCTGCCTATCCAAATCTACCTCTAGGGATAGCCACTATTAACATTTTCAGAGGTTATTCTTCCTTTTTATGTAATTCATACAGATAATGCCATGCACATTTCACTGATTTTTTTAAATGAAAAAAGCACTCACGCACATACCATAGGCTGCAATATATTCTTTAAATTAACTGCATATTGTAGCCGTCTTTTTAAGTGAATACAAACAGGTAACTCATTCATTTCAATACTGCACTTTGCTTTTAAAGGTGGGTGCTTTAAATATTATTACATATTAATCAAATTGGGGGTGGGGTTTAAGTCTTACTAAGCATTGTTTTCTCCAGTGCCTAGCTACAATATTTCAGGCAAACAGATGGCTTTTAGTAAGTATTTGCTGAAAGAAAGATACAGTTACTAAAAACGATAGGACTGGAGCAAGCTTCTAAATTCAAGATTATTGCCTGTTTAAAACTGTCATCTGGGCTCAGCTAAGGGTGTAACATTGAAATAGAAAACATACTTTTCTATCTTGCTTTCTGTAAGAAAGGTCTGTATCAAAGCACACTGGGAAAGATTTAGTTTGAGTTCAACTGATTATAGAAAAAGGCTGCACAACACCTAAACACTGACGCCAAGACCAAATAAATTAATTCTCCCACTTGTGACTTATCTCTGACTAAGTTACAAAGACTTGACACACTTCATCTGTAAAGTGTGGATAATGATACTTATCACAGGATTATGGTGAAGATTCAAATTGAAAATATTTGTGAAACTGCTTTTCTCATGAGTCTGTAATTAGACTGACCATTGCAAATGAATCGCAGTTCTACCACTGGGTATTTGTTTGGCCTTGTAAAACTGGAACAATTCTAATCACCTCTTTCATTCATTCAGTTACTCTGTACTATGGGTGCTGAGCACTGACTATGGACAGCTGTCAACACTGCTCTAGTCACTATGAACAGTAGGTAAGAGCCATAACCTCTCTATCCTGTGGTGCTTCGGGTGTAATGGGAACAGGTAGACAACAAGTAAACAAACAAGTAACACAGCTTAAAACTGTCGAAGCCTAAGAGGAAAATCTAAACTGTTATGATAAAACTGGGCTTAGTGAGGGTATACCAACTGGTGGGGTAGGTACGGGGTTCTCTGAAGAAGTGGTACTTCAGTTGAGCCCTAAAATATGAGAAGAAATGCAATGAAAATAGGGAAGAGTACTGTCCAAGGAGAAGAAATAGCACACGCACAGAAGTCCTGGGATAGAAACTTACTTCATGGAGGTAATATGTTTCTGAAAAAACCCTTGTAGGGAGAATTCTAAGTAAAAACATCACCACTATTTATTAATTTCAAAGGGGAAAAGGTTGTACATATCAATGCCCCAAAACTGATGTTCATGAAGTTTAATAAAAATACCAAATCCCAGAAAAAAATGGACACAAGAATAAACATTAGTTATAACACTATCTGGCAGGGCATTTCCTTTCATTAGTTACTCAAAGATATACAGTTTTTTTGTCATCATTAAATTCTTTCATAACTATGACATCCATTAAATTTAACACTAAGTCAAAAAATAAACATTTATGGTACTCAGGGTTTATAGAACTACCTTTTAGTGTCCCAAATCTCCTTAAAAAAATAGAGAGAGGAAAGTAAATGAAAAAAAAAAAAAAGGTTAGGGAGCATAAGGCATTAAGATCACTGCTGCTTTAAATCAACAAATCATTAAAACATGAGAAAATGCAACACACATTAATAATACAACTTCAAAGGTGCCTCTTCTCCAGTCAAGATCAAAAGGCATGCAAAATTCAAGCCAGTGCTTCTAAGTGCCAAAAGACAAAAACAAAAACAAAGAAGACAAAAAAGTTTAGTTCAGGGAGTACCTAAAATTCCTCATATAGTTAAAAGACCAAATGAGCTTATCTCAGGGTGTAACTAATAACATTCTCCAATCCCATTTTACAGACAAGGAAGCTGAAGGGTTAGCCAAGGTCATAAAATTAACGGGGCAAAACTGAGATGAACCATTAGTCAGGTTCCAGGCCCAACTATTAACTTCCCTGATATACCTCCTCAGTAAGCTACCATTACATTACTAGCATTAAATCAGTAATAACCATTAATTATTTTCAGAATTTCCTCATGGAACCCAGGTTAGAATTACCATAACAATACATTTGCCATGGGAAAAAAAGGATTACTTGTACAAATTTTTCATTAAATGAGACTACATCTATTTAACTTAGCTGATTTTCATTCTTTTATTTTAAATTTTTTATTAAGGTATTATTGATATATACTCTTATAAAGGTTTCACATGAAAAAACAATTTACCCATATTACCAAGTCTCCAACCATACCCCAATGCAGTCACTGTCCATCAGTGTAGTAAGATGTCACAGAGTCACTATGTGCCTTCTCTGTGCTACACTGTCTTTCCCATGATGCCCCACACCATGTGTACTAAACACAATTCCCTTCAATCCCCTTCTCTCTCCCTCCCCACACGCCCTTCCACAGCCCTCCCTTTGGTTAACCACTAGTCCCTTCTTGCAGTCTGTGAGTCTGCTGCTGTTTTGTTCCTTCAGTTTTGCTTCATTGTTATACTCCACAAATGAGGGAGATCATTTGGCACTTGTCTTTCTCCACCTGGCTATTTTACTGAGCATAATACCCTCTAGCTCCATCCATGTTGTTGCAAATGGTAGGATTTGTTTCTTTCTTATGGCTGAATAGTATTCCATTGTGTATATGTACCACCTCTCTTTATCCATTCATCCATTGATGGACACTTAGGTTGCTTCCATACCTTGGCTATTGTAAACAGTGCTGCAATAAAAATAGGAGTGCATATGTCTTTTTGAATCTGAGAACTTGTATTCTTTGGGTAAATTCCCAGGAGTGGGATTCCCAGGTCAAATAGTATTTCTATTTTTAGTTTTTTGAGGAACCTCCATATTGCTTTCCACAATGGTTGAACTAGCTTACATTCCCATCAGCAGTGTAGGAGGGTTCCTCTTTCTCTGCATCCTTGCCAGCATTTGTTGT